CTAAAACAACATTCCAGTCGTCCCAGCTATGCCCTTTCTCAGTATCTTCCCAAAAGAGTCAAAAGCATCATACCACAGTGATATATGCATATCCATGTTTATAGCAGCATAATTTGTAATAAGTATATCTTGAAAACAGCCCAGATGCCCATCACCCAATGAATGAATAAAGAGTACGTGGGTTTTTAATAGAATACAGTACTACTCTACCATAAAGAAAGACAAACTTGAGACATTTTTAGGTTACTGAATGCACCTTGACATCATATTTTTAAGTTTAATAAATCAGACTTACATATTTTCATATCACATTGTTACTCTTGTGTGAGAAACTGGAAAGGTAAATAAGAATCAAAAGGGATGAAAGATATTGGGAAATAGGAAAAAAATGTTCAAAGGAGAAGGGGAACAAGGTAAGGGGGTAGGGGAAGGGAAGGAAGAGAAAATAAAAAAATAAAGAGAGAACAGAAACACAAAAATTGAAACAAAGCATTGCAAATAAGAAGGGAAAAAATGTTAAAGGGAGGGGGGAAAAAGAAGAATGAAGATATATTATGTAGAGTTATAAATCCCCTGTGATGAATGTGATCATTATGTATATCAAAAGAATACCAATAAAATAAATTTTAAAAAAAGAAATCCACGAGCAAAAACTTCAGCAGAACTGCTAAAAGGGTAGGAAATCCTAAACCGTGGTCGATGAATTGAGAACTCAAAAGGCACCCCAGTCATAATGAAGCTTCCACCATTTTTTAAGGTTTTGTTTTTTTTACCTACAGGAGCTTGACCAGCCTCTCATAGTTAAGATGAAATACCTTTTTTGTTATTAACAGGGGGAGGGGCAAAGTAACCATTATGAAATATGCCAGTGCATACTGTTCTTAACAAGGCTTACCCTCAAGAGAATTTTTTTTGGAGACAGGCTCTCACTCTTCCTCAGTCTAACACTCTTCCAACTGAGCTATCTCGGCGGCTTGAGAGAGGGTCTCACTCTGTAGTTCAGGCTGGCCTTGAACTCACTGTGTAGCCCAGGCTTGCCTTGAACTCATGGTGATCATCCTTCCTCAGCCTCCCGAGTGCTGGGATTACAGGCATGTGCCAACATGCCTGGCTGTCAAGAGAAATTATTTTACTAGAGCCTAACCTACTGAATGTTTTTCTAGATTATAACTATTCTAGGAGAAGGGAATTATTCAGCTCCAGTTTGCTCAAGCTTTCCACATGACAGAAGGAAATGTCCAGCACTAGCCTTCTCTGGGTATCCTATGTGACCTTAAAGTGGGAAGAAAACTGAGAGGCACTTGTGAAATCGATAGACCACAGGTCCATTAATCATAGGACTAGAAAACACTTCCCTCCCCCCTATAACTTACTGCCACACCAGAAAGGAGTACCATTCTCAGAACCTCCATACAAGGCATGTGACATTCAAATACCTGTATACCACAGCTCCTCTTAGCCTGTGCATCATGTCAGACATCCAACAACAACAACCACAACAACAACAACAACAACAAATGACAAGGCATGCTAAAAGGTAAAACACAAAGTTTGAAAAGACAGAGAAAGCCACCAGAATCAGACTAAGGATGCTGGAATTATCACATCATGAATTTAAAACAACTCCAACTGATATGTTAAGGCCTTTAATGAAGAAGCAGACAGCACCCAAAAATAGATGAGCAATATAAATAGAAAAGATGCAAATTCTAAGAATTAAAACTGCCAGATATTAAAACAGAGGTAACAATACCATCTTATTTAACCACATATTACTTATTAAGAATCAAATGAGATAATGAATTTATAGAAATGAAAAAATATTACAAAGCATAATGAAAACCAAAGGAAGTTACCTCATAAAGAGGATGATCATCATCACCACCATAATTAATGATCAGAGGGAATCTGTAGCTTCAAAATATGCCTTTCCTTTGACTGACGTGTGACATAGTCTTTATACTAGCTTTTAGAATGAGAAGATTGAGACTCGAAAGATAAAATTAGCAACTCTGTGTTTCTGAATCTAGCACTACTACATTATAGCTACTGGTGGGGACCAGAACATGTGGAGTTATGCCCCTTGCCTTCCTAACCAGGCAAACCTCACACGAAAAACTCAAATGTGCAGTTCTGTTTTGGATTTGGAAGTCAAGCAAGCACCATTCTTCTCGAGATTTTGAACCTTAAGGCTATAGGAAAAGCTTCCACAAGGCAGCCTCACTCTCCTTCCCACTGTGACTTTCCATATATCTGTCTGAACAGATATACTTTGGAAAGAAAGGTTTTTGCAAACTATCAAAAGATAAAAGTTCTTCAAACAAACAAAAAAACCTTAATCTTCCGATGTCTCTTTTTAGATAAGTCAGGATGAGATTTTTGATCCCTGGATAGGCAGGGTCAGTGCCTCCTTGTAAACCTGAAACAGCCATAAGTAGACATACTTTGGATTGCCAGCATCCTTTGAGGATAAGGAATCACCTGGGCATGGTATTCAAGCCTATAATCCCAGTCCCCTGGGAGGCTGAGGCAGCAGAATCACAAGTTTGAGCCCAGCCTGAGGCACTTGGTGACTTAGCAAAACCTTCTCTCGAAGTAATAAAAGGATGGGAGGGGGTGTTAGCTCAGTGCAAAATTCCTGGGTTCAATATCTAATATTGGAGGAGGGGAAGCATAAGGGATCAAAATCTCACGGGAACAGGAAATGAGGTAAGATGGAAGAAATAAAGATAAAAAGGAAACAAGGAAAGTGATCATTTTAAAGCTATGCTTTTAGGAAAAATTACACCTTTGGGATACAAACATACAGAGGTTACAGTGCCTTTTTCCATTCCGAAGAACACACTCCAAAAAAGTGTATTTAAAATACAATAAGCTTATAAATCGAGCATGTGCTTTCCTCTCAGACTTCCATCTTCAAGGAAGCAGGACTATTAAGTAGGTAGCATATCCCTAAACATCAAATACATACAAATGGTTCACATTCTAACCTAGCCCACCAAATAGGTGGCCTGTTATATAGTAAGAATACTAATCCTAGGTCACCCATTTTAAGAACACAGAAAAACCCCTAGTCCCAGACCATAATGCAAGTCTCTCTTGAGATCCTGCATTTTATTTTGTGTGTAATTCTTTAATTCTAATAAATGCTCTCATGTCTAATATCGCTCACTGATGCATCCTATAATTCTTTTCTTTGATGTATATTAGTGAAAATACATCCTATTCCATGAATGAGAGAAATGACATTGCCATCTACTCTTCACGGGACATTCTTGAACCCTGAATATTTGTTAGAGGCTTACCACATACCATGTGTTTTACTAATTTTTAGAGCAGACATTCAGGGCAGGTATTCTTCCCTATTTTACATAAGAGGAAACAGACTTGGGGATCATGACTAACTTGCGCAAGGTTCCACAATCGGTAAAGAAAAAGTACAGTCCATACTTAAGCCCAATGTATTCTATACACTTTCTACTACACCTGTCAGCCTTCTGGGTTGAGTTGGTTTGGTCTCTGAGCTAGCTGGAGCACACTCCCCACAGAGGCTTTCCAGAAGGGCTTTCTTTCCTCCCACCAAAATTTCTAACGACCAGGGCCCTGTCAAAGTCCAAAGGCAAAAATGGGGGGAGGGGGCAAGAGTCATACTTAGTTCTAGAGCTATTTGATAGTCTTTCACGTTGATATTAATGTGGTTTGATCTAGTAAATTACATTTTATAAACCCATAGCAGAGCTCCTAATACACCTGAAGTATCTCTATACTGAGAAAAGTACAAACTATGAGGTCTAGTGCATGAATCCATATGTTTTGTTTGTTTTGTTTTGTTCTGGAAGGCTGCCACCCCTCTTTCTGCCACCAAACAAGCTTCCAGGGTAACTGTGACACCACAAAAGCAACTTTACAAATCACTCTAGGCACGGATGACACCAGAAAAGCAGCATTCCTTGCTCTAAGACTATTGAAAAAGAAACAAGAGGCTAGGGGAAAAGAGAAAGGAAAATTCTGTTCTGAAACCAGAGCACAACAGAGCAACCCAGGCAGGAAGAAAAATACTTTAAATAAGGATCAAACAACCTTGTAAATGCTGAGTGGAAGCTGCATGGAATGACATGAAAGGGTCATTGGGAGGCCCAGCAAAAATGGAAGAGACTGACAAGTGCCTACCAAGTATGAAAGCAGGAACCACAAAGAGGCGGCTGGGAGTGTGAGAAACCAAATTCAGACATCTGCAGAAATGAGGGCAGTTCTTCTGTTTCCCCCCAATTTATTCTCCCTGTGGACTCAATCCACTATGAAATTTTTATTGCTGCTTTTACTACAGCAATTGGAAAGAATTAGACATTGTCTAGCTGGGTAGAGTCCATTAGGGACAGATAAAGAAGAGGATTAATTCATTGTCACTATCCTAGGAGTATTTCCAGACAAAATACACTATTGTGAGGAAGACACAGCTCTACCCTACCCCACACCCTCTAGTTCTGCAGCCAGAGTCACTAGTTCAAACCATGGCAGTGCCTTTCCTGTTCAGCTACCTTGCAATCTGCCAATGTGCAATGAAATGATACAATACTAAGTGTTTAACTGCAGGAGCCCTACCTGCATGTTACGTATTCCAAAACCTAATAATCCTGTGTGTTTATCCCATCTGTACCAGAGCCAGCGCATAGAACCTTCTAAGCAAAGCTTTTCTATATTAAGGGAACCCCATGTTCACTAAGGTTACTTCTTTAGTCAGCCGTGCCAATATCAGAGATTCCAAGGAAGTTCTCTGGTTGAATATAGAGAGGGAGGCATTTGATGTCACTAGATGTGGCAAACAACTTTTTTGGCCCAAACAAAAAGAAAGATCACTTCTAATTTCATGCATGCACAAGAAAAAGAAACCCTAGACGACATACACTCTGTACTGATTGTTTCAGAAAACTGGGGAACCTGTTCATATGCCCCACTCCCACCCACACATTCATACCTGTTCCTGAAGCTTTCGGACTTACTTTTTGCAAAAAGCTGAGAGATTGTCTTCCTGGTATCCTCAGACCCCTCATACTCCTTCTCTGCAAGCTGCTTATTGGCAGTCTCTAGACGTTCTGTGGAATTTGGAGACAATCAACTGAGCCCTAAAAACAAACTTCCAGGCACATGCTGTTTGCTCTCTAATACTGACTTTCAGCAAAACAAGCCTGAATCTTTCTGTTAAACAGGAATGGGTGACAAAGACACAGGTTTGCAGATGGGAATTCCAAAGAAAAACCAGACCATGGCAGGGAAGAAGAGGGTAGGCACCTGACACTTTCACTCCTCACTGCCAAAGTACAAATGAAAAATTCTAAGTATCAATGAAATAACCTATTCCTGAATTTATAAAGCTATCTTTCATCAACCAGGAAAAAAGAACATCACACTTATTATGAAGTCTTTAAAATCATGTAATAGCAAAGCTAGAAACAGATCATGGAAACATATAGTTGAGCTCCAATTTTACAGATAAGATTAGTTGAAACCTGAAGATAGACTATAACATCCCCAATTCAATGTGAAGGTGTTGATAGTTTAAAATAGAAATATTTTTCACCATCTTCAATATTGTCAGATGAAAGTAAAAATGAAAGGCAGGATTGAGCCCTAGAAATAATAGAGGGCACTACTATTTCAGGCTTGCAAAATCCAAAGACACGCCTCTACCAGATGCATAAAGGAAAAAAGTCTACATCCATCGTACGGGTGGGTGGGAGTCCCAGGAAGGATTCTGCCTCATGAACTGACTACAAGGCCAGTCATACATGTCCCTTCAACTTACATTAAGTAAGCTTGAGACCAAAATTGTACACACACACACACACACACACACACACACACACACACACACCCCTAGCCTGGGATAGGTCCTGAAATTTATTAATTGCATCAATGAGTTAGCCAGTCTCAAAGCGCCTGATCCAGTCTTCCTCAGCTCTGTCCCTGTCACCACCTTGCAGCTGTCTGAGAAAATCAAAGATACGCCAATTGATTCCCTCACCTCGCAGATCCCTGTTGAAGTCATGCATCCTCCGAATCTCACCCTCCAGCCCCTAGCCTGGGATAGGTCCTGAAATTTATTAATTGCATCAATGAGTTAGCCAGTCTCAAAGCGCCTGATCCAGTCTTCCTCAGCTCTGTCCCTGTCACCACCTTGCAGCTGTCTGAGAAAATCAAAGATACGCCAATTGATTCCCTCACCTCGCAGATCCCTGTTGAAGTCATGCATCCTCCGAATCTCACCCTCCAGCTTGTTCCTCATGGCTTTTTCCAGGGCCTCTCTTTTGGAGGATGACTTTACTAGGTTTTCATATGCTTCTGAGACTCGCTGGATTTCTGTCTCCACCTTAACATAAAAAGAAAAGATGGTGGTCATGGGAGGAGGCTGATGAGGAAGATGGTCTGAAAGCGAATATACAAAACCCCAGGGATAGTTTCTCCCAGGGCTCACACATGAAGCCAGCCTAGCACTGTCAGCAAAGAAAGATTTCAAGGGAGACTTCCTGAGTTCAACCACAGTTCAGTAAATAATCCATTGTTTCATGAGATTTCTGATATGTGTATGTATCTATACATATAGGTATGTATGCAGTCATACACTGTGTATATGTATAGATATATACATATATACAATTTCTGCCTTCAGAGTAGGTAGCAAGACAGAATACTTCCAAAGGAAAATATACTTCATAAATAGGATTATAAATTACCTTAACTTTTGAAAAAAAATTTAGCTTTGGAAACAATAATAATACATGTGGTATGTGGATATCCTTATTTCGCAGCATCCAAATGTTTTTCACATGCTTATTTCAATTAGTCCTGATACCTGCCTAGACAAAGATACCCCATTTTACCAGACAGAAAAGTTAAGCTGCCTTTCTCAAGAGCAAGTTTGCACCAGAGACAATCCATAAAAACTGAATCTTCAGCCTCATGTAGTATAATTCAATTAATTTAGCAAACATTTGAAGGGCCCAACAGTTATAAGAGCTGGTTAGAATACTATGAGGTATTTATATATGAATGAGAGCACTGCCACTGCCTTCAAGGAGCTTTCAATCTAATCAAGTTAAAGAATACAGTACAAGATACAGCTTTAAGAAAAGGAATAGTGCTATAAAGTGCAGAGAAGGAAGCTATTATTCCTAGTTGGAGGAGGAGGGAAAAGAACAATTTCAGGGAGGAGGTGGCATTCAGAGTCAGATCCTGAAACCTGGGTCAGATTTCAATGGGCAGAGGTGAGGGGAAGGGTATTCTATTCTGAGTGAGCAAATGCATTCCCAGAATGACCAGTACTCACATTTGGCTGGACATCATGGGATACACAGGGGAAAGTTGGAGAGATACGGCTGTAAAGATAGATTGGAATCGGATCATAAAAGGGTTTTTTAATGCCAGGCATTTGGACTTTATCCCACACTCAGTGGGAAACCAGTACAGATTTTTAAACAGAAATTCATGATTAGAGTTGTGTTTTATGACACACATGCAAATCTCATAAAATCGAGAAAAAAAAAAAACTAAAAGGACAAAGGATGTTAACCCAAATTAGCCAGAATCAGGAAGAAAACAAGAAACTGTACTCCAGGATATTTCTGTAACCAGTATAGCTTCATTGCACATGTAATAACCATGGAGATTATTTGCATATAATTTGTATAATACAAATAAACCCCATGGCCTGCAACCATTCTGCAGTCCTTCTCAGTTTTCCACTATCCTCCTTAACAAAGCTCAGGGTACTTTATTAGGAGAAATATCAGGCCCCCAGTGGGAAAATGGAGAGAAAGGCAGGGTTACCAAACAACTCAGACTGAACTTGCCTCCATCTCTAAAATCCTGCCTGAGACAGGACTGCCTAAAAACAAAGAGGCTCATACCACTGAAAAGAGCAGACTTGAAAGTGTTTTTCTCCTTACAGATGGCACCAAGATAGCAGCACAGAAGGTGAAAACTGGCGAATGGCATTTAAATACAAGATCTGCAAAGCCTGTGCCTAATGAAGTTTTTTTTTTCATGAAATTCAAGTGCTAGGCAGAGAAAATAAACATTTTCATTTGAAACAGCAGGCCTGGTGTTGGTCAGCTCTGGGCAGCCTTGAGGGAGTAAGTGATTCTTCCCAGTTCTACACAGAATGCCACACCTGGAAAGCAGGCCCTATAATCAAGGTGTTCAGAGTGCTGTTGAAGGTCTGCTAACAATCCTTCCCCTGGTCCCTGTGGAGAAACTGTACCCTTCAAAGGGACAAGACAAGTCACACATCTGTGAGCAGAGCCTCTTCCAGGAAAGAATTCAGAGCAGGACATGTTGTGATTTGGATATGGAATGTCTCCCCACAGTTCCATGTGCTCAGAGGCAGGGCTCCAGGAAGGTCACTGCATTATGGAGTCACTACAGCTAAACTGCTGTTAGGAGGTGGAACCTGGTTAGAGATGGGTCACTGGAGCCTGACACGAAAGCAGTGTTCTCCCTCCTGGTCTCTTCCCTTCTCTTTCTGCTTCCTGGCTACCATGACATGAGCTGCTTGAATGAACCCCTGAAACCTGAAGCCAAAATAACCTCTCCTCCTTTGAGTTGTGGCTATTGGGTATTACATCTTTGTGACAAGAAACTGACTAAGACAGGGCAGTGCCACTGACCTGGTTTGGGTGATGGCAGGTACAGGAGAAAGGGAGGGTGGTGGTGGGTTTCCAGACGTACTCTGTCTCCTTGTTATACTCATGTGCTTCAGTTTTCTTTTTCCAGAATCATCTAGTATCTACCTTATTCTCCCCATTTTCCTTTCCCTCTTCTCCCTTACTATCTCTGTCCTCCACCTTGCTATTGCTTTGGCCTCTACTTCTGACACTCAGCCTGACACTTATTTGAGCCATCTTTCCACATCTCAGGAAACAAGTAATAACAAACCACAACAAAAAATCATATTCTGGCCAGGTGTGGTGGTGCACGCCTGTTATCCCAGCACTCAGGAGACTGATTCAGGAGGAACACTGTGAGTTCAAGACCAGCCTGGGGTACATAGTGAGTTTCAGGTCAGTCTCAATTACACAGGGAGACCCTGTCTCAAAAAAACAACAAAAAAAATCATATTCTGCTTTTCTTGTCAACTCCCCACACACCCGCACACCCAAATCATCATAGATTCTCTGGCAAAAAGGTCCTATAGAAGATCTGTGTTCAACTTTCAACGACTGCATTAAAAATGGGACAGGGCTACCCTGAATTGAGAGTTTGTAGAAGGACTTCAACTTTTAACCTAAAGAGCCAAACTCAATTTCTAGTGTATAGAAAGAATTAATTAATTGCACCAATTGATGTGGGGCATAGTTAGCATGAGAGGAGGGAGAAAATGGGGTGAGTGCAGAAAGAGCTCTTACTCCCCTCAAGAGTCCCTATGCAGATTTGGAGAAACGGGTTGGGGAACCTTTTCTGCTACATGAAAATAATTAAGCAATCCCTTGGGATTGAGATCTGCTGTTTGCAAATTCTCAGTCTCATTCAGGCCCCTAAAATTTCCACTCCTGGTGTCTCCTGAGGACAGTTACTAAACAATACAAGGCAACCACCCCTCCCTCCCACACCTTCAACCTCACCTCCCGAAACAGTGCACAGTGCAGGGTTATCATGCCACACAAGCTCCACACTGACAAAAGCTGCAAAGTGGCTGCCAAAGGCATAGCCTTATTCACCAAACAGCCACTGGAGGCCAAGAGCTAAGAAGGTTCCTAGCTTGGGGCATTCAAGAGCTAAAATCTCAGCAGCAGAAAATAGGAGCGGCCCAGGGAAGAATGTGAACTAGGACACACACTTCTTTTTCTACTTCCTTGGCCCCAGGCTGTCACCTGTTACACAGCTGTGATGATAAGCTCTTCCTACCCTCCCCCCAACACACACACCAAAGAAAGAGAGCAGATGTTGAATCAGAGCTACAGGAAAGGACCAAAGCAAAAAGGGGGAAGGAGGAAAGTGTCGAAAAAGTTCCTAGGAGAACTCCCAGTAGGAAGAGAACTCTCAGCCTTTCCCAGAACAAGGCAGGGTAGGCTCTAACTGCAGCTGATGAGATTTTTCTAGGAAGCATGAACTATGGTTTTATATTTCAGTTTCAAATTCACATTGGGGAAAACATAATCAAGACAAAAGGCCTTCAAATGCTGGCAGGTTCTTCAATGACACAGGAATCACCAGTATTCTTAACCTTATGAAGTGTCATTCCTGCTCCTTTTGGACTTCTAGAACAATCAATTATGTTTTCTTAAGAACTATGGTAACCAATAAATTCAACAAAAAGGAAAAAAAAAGAACTATGGTAACTGGAAAACTAGTAACTTTTCTCTTAGTATAAATGCAAAATTGTGACTGCTCCTAGAAAAACAAGCAGAAGATTTTTTCTCAAAGTTTTAACCATATGCAGCCCTCAGGCAGAGAAGCCCTAAGGACATGACTGTATGTAATGCAACCAACTGACAACTGGAAACTTTTATGTGGATATTAATATTTTAAGGAGGCCCTAATGTCCTCTGAGAGGCTCACCTTCTGTAGTCTTGCCACCTTCTCATAGCATCCTTCCAACTCCTGACGCAGATTTCGGTTCTCATCTGAGAGGATCTCAACCATCTGCTGGGCTCTGGAGACAATAGCAAAAGGGTCAGCTGCCATTGGCTGGTAAGAAGCAGACTGCTGGGTCCGAGGCATAGCTGAATAGGCTTCTCCTGGCTGCTGCTGCTGCTGGTGGTGGTGGTGATGCTGCTGTTGCTGCTGCTGTTGCTGCTGACTCAGGCCTGGTTGAGAGAGGCGGTAATGATCCCCCTGGTGAGCCTGATTAGGTAGAAAATGCTGCTGGGGCCTAGGTAGGTGAGCTGAGTGGTCTCCCTGGTTTGGGACTAAGGGATGCTGGGCAGGAGACAATCTAGTAAACGGTGGAGACTGCAGCAAGGGCAAGGAACCCCCCGACGTCAGGGAAGAAGTAGGGCTGTGAGGTTGTGAGCTCCTGGCTGACAATGGCAATGAGATGTCCTGCGTTGGCCTGGAAAACATGAAGGGCAGACTCTGGTTAAATTCTCTCCTGATGTACTGCAGAACAAGTAAGTGACACATGCAGGCTTCTGGTACCTCTAGGACACCTGCCAAATGAGCAGGCAGAGATAGACTACGAGAACCCTGCAAAGATCTCTACAGTTCTTTCCTGGCCCAACCTCCCACGATTCTGCCTGACAGACAGAGGTGTGATTCCATGGAGGTTCAAACCAGATGATTTCCAAACCAAAAGAAAATCCAAAGGATATATGGATCTATATTCACTGCTCAAGTCTAAGTATTTCAAGCAATTCTTCTATAAGGTAATTTTCATATTATTATCTTAAACCAAACCTAATGTTGGAAATAACATTATGTATGTGTTTGATCAAAGAAAGATTTCAAATTTAAAATATATGTTTCATTTATCGGGAGGGGCAAAAAGCTATCAAAACTGTCTTTACCTTCCTATCTGCAACTGCCTTTGAGAATTCATATATTCATTTAAAAACATTAAATAGGGCTGGGGATTTAGCTCAGTGGTGCCACCACCTGCTTTGCAAGTGCAAGGTCCTGAGTTTAATCCCCAGTACCAGAAAAAAAAAAGAAAAAAAGCATTAACTATACCAAATATACTAAGGAGGCTGAGGCAGGAGGACTGGAAGTTCAAGGCTAGCCTGGCAACTTTGTAAGACTGTATCTCAAAATAAAATAAAATAAAATAAAATCGCTGGGCATGTAGAATCCAGTATTCTCTGGGTTCAACTCCCAGTACTACCAGAACAAAACCCACAAAATAATTACTATTCATTGTAGTTATGATGATTTAATGGTGCCCATTACTGGTAATACAAGAAATTGGTATGGGCAACAATATTATCCTACTTTGATGTAGTGCATGACAAATGTAATGACTGGAAAAGCCTTAAAGAAATTATGTCATCAAACTCTATCATTGCAAGGAGAAATTAAGGCTCAAAGAAGGGAAGTTATTTGCTGGGTACTAGAGGAAGTTAATGCACGGCTTTCTGTGCATAGTGCTTATAGAAAGTTCCAAAAGGAGAACTCTGGTTGGTTTTTTGTTGTTGTTGCTTTGTTTTGTTTTGTTTTGGCACTGGGGATCAAACTCAGGACCTTGTGCTTGCGAGGCAGGTGGTGGCACCACTGAGCTAAATCCCTGGCCCCTGGTACTTTAGTATGACTCTCCCTTCTTTAGTATCTAATTACAACTAAATACTAATATCTGGGTATAAATAACTTGTACATGGTGCCTATTAGCCAGTAAGGGAAACAGTATGTGGAAGGATCACTTTCCACTATCACCACTACCATATCAGGAAGAATATCTGTCAGTGCACAATGAAGACAAAAAGCTTGTTCACCCTCCCCTCAGTCCATGCCCAACTGACCTAATATGCTCCCAAAACCTGCGGATACTTGTCCTACTTGATATTTCTCAATGTGGGGAGGGCAGATGGCTAAGAGTATGGGATTTAGACCCCAACAGGGAGAGTTTGGATAACATTTGTACTACTTACTACCTATGTAACCTTTCAAATTAATTAACCTGCAAGAACCTGTTTCTTTCTTGAGGTTGCAAATGAATTGCAAAATACTGGGATCTTCACATTTTTAGCTCAATAAGAATTACAATCTCTTATCTATCTCCCAATGAGATAGGCTGGCCTTGTTATCATGTTACCTATGGGATACCCTTTGTGCTACTTTGCATAATTTTCATGGCAGAACTGGGACAAATCACCAGAAGCAATTAACTTTTAACTGGCATTCCAGATGCTAAAGCACATGCCTCTCCCAACATTCCAGATATCATTATTGTCCCTACCAAAGCTCCTCAGTTTAATGGCTTTTTAAAGCTTGAAAAAGCATTACAAACACTTGTGCTCCTTGTTTAAAGACCAAAAGGTTGTTAAATGAATTGCTCACTAAATGAGGATTTGTATATAGTATGTACATGATAATATTCAGATCAAAGAAAGGAGCAAAGGAAACTACAATTTGATGACCTTGCTTTTATTTGCATAACTCTTACATGTAGTACTGTAATGTATAACAGAACATAAAACTACAGTACTGTACTCTACAGTATAATCAGCAAAAATTACAGTACTATATAAATAAGGTATGCCATACAAAAAGACATTGGGGCTCTGTAAACAAAATGCACGGAACTGTACAAAAAAAATAAAGATGGATGTAACTGTACTGTATCCCTAAAATGTACCAATAAACTCAATTAAAGCTGAAAAACAAAGAAAAAAAATTAATATTGGCTATTAGTCTGCGCAGTGGGTTGTAAGTCTGAAAAGTCCACGTCAGTCTTCAGTCCAAACAGTTGTTAAATGAAAAAAAATCACTACATTAAATTTCAGGATACCCAATAAAATAGATGATCATTGGCCCCCAAACCTGTTCAAACTTGGTCTATCCCTCAGGCCTGTGTACATCTCTGGTGTACACACATTCTTCTAGTTTCATATATATGTCTCTATATTATTACTGAATACAGAAGTGGGCACACAAACTACTTGGGCACAGAAGAACTGACATGGTACATGTTATACACATTCTTTCTTTCCAAGAGCTCAAAAGACGCACTGCGTCAAAAGCCTGGGAACTGTTTATAAACTTATTTGGTAAATAATTCCCATTTTCCATTCTATGAACCTTCAGTTTCCTTATAGGTAAAATGGAGCATGTGCTTTCTCTTCCCTTTGAGTAAGAGCTATTATCCTTCCTATGTGTCTCTAAAACTCAAATATAATGTCTTGAGGGAAAAAATGAGAACCAAGACCTGTCATGTAATGGTACAAGATCCCAATGATGAATGTAACTGTACTGTATACCTAAAAAGTACCCATAAACTCAATTAAAAAAATATAATGTCTTGGGAGTTGCTGGGGATTTTATATTCCTTGGGCAGAAAAGAGGAGCTTAAATTTCATGTTTTCCGATCAAGCTTTCAAAATTTAAGGGAAAACAATCACTATATCAAATTTTATCCTAATTCCCAGGATTTGAAAGCCCAGGGCCTAGGGAGTGTTTCCTTCTAAACACTGAAGACCCAGTTCAAACTGGGCTTCTCCCATCAAGCGAACCAGGCCTTTCTCTAAAAGAGGCCAGACTATTGGCCTCCCTCCTGGTCTGGAGCGTCAAGAAGGAAGAGATTGGAAAGAGGTCTCTGCTGTCAGTTAAGCCCAAAATGAAGATAAGCAGTAAGGAGGCAGCTACCCCTCGGTTCCCCAGACTGGCAAAGGAAACAGATCTCAGTGCATCATGTTGGAAAACCAAGGCAGTCCGTTACTGGCAGCTTTGCAAATAAACAAAGCCTTGGACAGTTGCAAAAGGAGAGAAAGCCCCCTAGCAAGGGAGTTCCATTTGGACTCCAACATCCACCTACCACCAAAAAGCAGGACACTATTAACACTCAGATGAAGTTTCCCCTAAGAAAAAGGAAAGATGGATGGAGGAGAACTATGGGCAATGACACAGGAAGCAAAATCACACTCAAAATTAAATACTAATAACTACAAGAGTAAAGTTAATAATAATAATTATAGCAGCAGTCACATGAGCAGCATACTGTCCAGGTCCCTCCAGACCCAACAGGGGCTGGAATCATTCCTCACTGACACATTAACCAGTAACAATAAGCCACCCACAGACAATATAATCACATGATCCCATGGAAGACCTGGCCTGTTTCCCTGCCACTTCCCTCCCTTCATTCTGATCCTTCTGAAGACTACCTGGGCCACTGGTGCTCTGCATAAAAGGAGAAAGCATGGCCATACAGGACAGAGGCTACTGACTCAAATCCAGTCCTCCCCAAAGCCAACAGAGTAGGGGAGTATGCAGGGGGCCTCCCAAACAGTGTGTGAGGACACTAAAAGAAAGCCACTGTACCCAGCTGCCACAGCATCTTTCATTCTGCCACATTTGTGAGTGGGAGTCCCTACATTCCTCAGCTCTCACACCCACACACACCTACACACACATAAGCACACATGCACACACCTGCCCACACATGTACAAGCCCATTTATGCACACTCATATCAAAGGAAGTGCCACCAACAGCCTGGAGCCCAGGTTATCCTCACCACCAGAACTGTGCCTCTCCCAGGATCTGGTATGGTGCATCTGTGAATCCTGGAGCTGGCTGTGAATTCTGGATGGTTCCTCTTTCACAACCAGCTCTGCTCTGAACTAGAAAGTCGGGTCACCCTGAGTTTCCACTCAACAAGGATTTCAAGAAACCTCAAATCTTGGCAAGATTTCAATAACTGAAAGGAGCTGGCTTCTTTATAAACAGAAATGATTTAATTTTTAAAAGCAGTTATAAATGTATAAACCCCGGATGAAGAAAGGCTCAGCATTTAGAAAGACAAAGATTCAGAAATTTTAAAATTCTTCAGATGTCTTGGCCTTGTTTCCCACCTGGAGTTCTGGGCATACAAGATATTTATTTTTTAAGTAGGGAGGAGAACATAGGGAAGATGAAGTAATCAAATAATTGTTTATAACATTTTGTTCATTTTAATAGCAAATCTCCAGCATTTCACTGCCCCTCTAAAGGCAAACAAAGGTTGTTGTTGTTGTTGTTATTTTAGACAGCAATATGTTCAAAAAGCTTATTTTGCATCCTGATCTGTAATTTGTGGTTTAAGAAGTAAGAAATTAGTCTTCCAATTGTTTAGTACTAGCAGCAGTTACTTGAAAATGTACCCACAAACCATACAGCTAGCTACTTAAAGGAAATAAATGAAAGAAAATGTGTCACCACCTAAAAGCAGTACACTTCAGCAAAGCTGTTCAACTACCTTCTCTTGCCAAGAAAGTCAATAGGTGCCACTTCCTCACACTGGGGCCCGCAGAAGCTCAGTTAGAATTTGCCTAATGCAGACCCAAACTTCTTCCTCCAATTTAGGACATATCAGTCCAGCACATCAATCACTGTATTCCGTTCCCACAGAGAAATAATTGCTAGAGAACACCCCTGTGTTAAAATACTACTGCTTGAGAGGGGCCGGAGATGGGATGTAGCCAACAATAGAGCACTGCTGACATACTCAAGGCCCTAGGTTCTATACTCAGCACCAGAAAGGGACAGAGAGACAAGACAGAGAGAGACACACACAGACAGAGAGAAAAGAAAGAAAAAGAAAAAAAATGGAAAGAAGGAAAGAAGGCAGGTCAGCATGGGTTCAGTTGCAAAAACAGGGCTAGATCTACAAATAATTTAGGAGGAGAAAAATATACATACATTCTCCTGTAAAATACATGCAACTGAATTTCTCTGGTGGTTTAATCAGTATGGAAAGGGAAAAAACCCCTCTTTGTCTCTTTATTATTTATTTAGGCAGATCAAAGGGCTTTTCTATCCAGCTTCAAACACTGTGGGAGTCATTTCAGATCACAAACAATACTGGTGAATGAGTTCTGAAAATAGCTTTCCTGGGAAGGCGGGCCATGTGCTGAGCGGGGCTTTGGCTTCTACTCCACGCCTAAACCAATACACTCCCCTCCCACAAAGAAGCCATCAGCCCTTCCACATAAGGGAGTTCCACATACTTTTCCATACTGATAGGAAGAGCAAATCAACCCTCCCCCAGGCTCCATTCACATTTGCTGGCTTGAATGGATTTCCACTAAGCTGTGATGTCCAACAGAGCAGCCCTTCCCTGGGTCCTCATTGAGCAGATGGGAACTGGATTCTTACTCTGGTTTAAAGCTGAATGGCCCTGTCTTCACCCCATTTCCTGTTCTTAAGACAAATATCAGAATTTAGGCTCCTCTCCTTTGAAAGCTGCAGAGGAGGTAGAAAAGAGTTAGGAAACCAATGGGGGATAAAGGGGCAAAAATTCTAAACCCCCAAAAGTTAGGGGTGGAGCCCAAGTGAGCCTCTAGTTTAAAAAGAAAGAAAGAAAGAAAAGGACCTGGATGAGGGAAAATTAAATACCAGGAAATGCCAGGTTCTTTCTTTTTTCTTCACCCTACTCCACTCCTTAAATGTCTTCTCTCCTAAGTCACCAGATCACCATATCACCTAGAAACTGTTCCTTCCCAAATAATTGAGGAGAGGAAAGGAGGCAAAGAGGATCATCAAAGAGACCAAAGGAATCACAGACCTAGTCTGTGGACTACCTATGGAAGAAAGCTAGCCTAGAGCTAAGGACTACAAATCCTGTGGTCACCCATCATCGTCCATGGGCACAAAACAGGAATATCAGTCATAACTATCATCATCGCTGCTTATGGTCTCAAATTTCCCTTGCTCCACAGCATGAAATACTACCAATCAGCAACACAGCCCTAAAGTCTAATAATTCAGGTACTGAACAGAATCACAGATTCATAAAGTATGTGAATAGAGCAACAGGGGAAGAGTATTTGGAATATTTAAGAGGTATAGTAGGAAGAACTGAATATAAAAAATGCAATTCATAGGAATATTTTTCTTTGTATATTTTATCATCTGAACAAGACTTCTACATGATATTCTTACATGTTTAGAAACAACAGGCAACTAACAAATTCTCTGAAGTAGAAAGTCAAAGCAGATCAATCTTCATGAACTGTAAGGAAGTACAAGGCAAGTACAACATTGTGAACATGTACATGTATGTAGTTCTCTCTACCATAATATCTGGCGATTTCTTTAATGTCCAAGAGAATCACAATAATTCTACAGAAAAAGCACAGCTAACAGGAAATAGATCTGTTGGCACATATAAGTAATGATAGTTTTATGGAGGACAATGCATGAAAGTGATAGGATGTTGCAGACTAATAAAAGTCCAAGACCATTTGTCTATGCTTCTTAAGAAAAGGCCTAATAACTCACAAGAAGAGGAAGATGGACCCTTCTTTCAGTACCCTAGGAGACAGAAAAACAAATAGCTAACTAAAAGCAAGATTTTGTTCCTCTTCATCCCCTTGGGCAGGCCCATCCTGTAAAGTCAAGGGACCATTAATACAGTGCTAATTATGGCTGAGGAGGTGAGAAATTCAGGTTGACAGACAATTTACTCATCTAATAGGGAATATGCACTACAGAATTTGTTAAACCAAACACCTGCCCATTCCTTCCCTTAAGATTCCCAACACGTAGCAGAAGAGTATGGTTGGGGATGAGATCAGGAAATGACAGAAAGGCAACGCTCTTACCTGGCTGCTCCATACTCAGGGGGATGCTGATACCTCATCAGTTGCCCCTCTGTTCTCCCTGGCTGGTTCAGGCGATGCTCACTATAGAAGTGCCCTGGCTCTTGGGGCTTGCACACTACAGATTGGGGTGGCATGCCCTTGAAGGGATACTCTGGTGGGGGGCCTCGGTGTTCCATGCCCTTCAGGCTATGCTGGTTGGGAGCTGGCCCTTGGGCCTTGTAGAATTCACTGGAACTTGTGGGATTCTTGTAGAGGTCATTAGGTTGTGGTGGGGAGAGGGGAGCACTGGTAACAGGTGGATGGGCCTTAACTCCACTGGTGGCTAGTGACATTTGCATCAATCGTTCACTCAAGGAGCGGACATGCCCTTGTTTAAGGTCTCTGAGTCCTTCATCCTGGTGCATCTTCCCAGGATTAAGCCTCTGAACTGATGGGCGTCCCTCAGTCCTCATCTTCTGGTTGGTGACACCAGTGACATAGAAGGCAGCTCCAACACTGGCATGCTGTTGGCCCCGAAAATATTGGGACTGGACCTTGGCTTCTTCATAGGTCGGAAGTTCCTCATTATTCTGTACTCGGGGAGATAGCTGCTTCTCCATGATGATGTTTTCTGATTGGATTTCCTGGCCCTGGGGTTCCTGGCGAGCAGGGTGTGCTACCAGCTGTTGATGGTGGTCTTGGGGACTCAACACATCATTCTGAGGGCCTGGGTTCCCACTGCCAGTGGGGAAAGGAGGGCCATTCCCTGTGGCTTGCTGGTGGATGGCAAGCAGACTGCGATTCTCACTAGGATTGCCATAGCGAAGCTGCTCTTGTAGCAGACGCTGCAAAACTGTAGTCCCTCCACTTGGCTGTTCTTCAGAATTTCTCATCTCTATCGCAGGTGGTGCCTTGTGAAGAGAGAGAGAAATTGGGCACTTGGGCTGCCCTTGACCTGGGAAGGGGAAACAGGAAGCTTAACACCCAGTTGATGGATAAATCAGTCCTCTAAAGGGGTAAGAAAATGGGTATTTGGGGGCAAGGATTCCATTGCAGAAACAAAGTAGAGAGTTGAATCTAGAAATAACAGATCAACTGTTGGAATTCCTGGCTTTAGCACCAATATGATGAGGAATATAGAGGGATAAGAACTCTATTTCCTCTGTCCCTTTTAGTATGAGTTATATATTCAATCTTGACTTAATTCCTAGGAGGATTGAGGAAATCTAGGGCAGTTAAGTAGAGTAATCAGGGTGGGCAATTTTCCAAGGTCCTTACTCACGTGGTTCATCTCTCTGTAATGTATTTAAATAAAAAAATCCAAGTCTTATGGCTGTGGAGGAAGGGACGGACAGTGGGGAGAGTTATCCCAAAGACAGGATTTGTAAAGCAGTTCAGCATGCGATGGGAGCTATAAAATGATAAATAAAGACTAAAATAAATAAAAGATGAAGAGACCTTGACCAGAGAGAACTGATCCTTAAATTGATGCAAATCATTTTCTCAAATCTCATTCCACTATGAAATATATCTTTTTTTAAAAAAATCCTTTTTAGTATTGTGCATTTTGGATGCTCTGTGGCTTAGTCAGAGAATGCCTTGGGACAATTATCACTGACAAAGTTTCTCTTTCAGCCATCCAGGGAGTCACTGAGATTTGCTATTATTGCTGTTGTTGCTGCTGCTGGGTAAGAGGAGCTTAAAGGGGAAGTGCCTCTTTCATTTGAAGTGAACCTCTGACAACATTTGGAAATCTTTCTGGAAAGGGTATGATATCATATCCCCCACTACCACCACCAATTCTTCTCAGGAAGTAATGTGGGCTGAGTAAGACAGATAACAAAGTTAAGATTCACATTCTAATATATTGGTTTATAGGGTAACTGAAACAAATGATTTCATCTTTCCTTGACTTCTATTTTCTCTTCTAAAAAGTGAGTGGTGGGTGACACACATGCCTTTCCCTCTTATTAGAAACTTTAAAGTGCATTGGAGAGAATCTGTCACGGTAAGTACTGCAATTATACACCAAAGTGAAATAATGAAACTTTTGCTCTGAATATGTTATGTTACTAGTAAGAATGGACATAATGTCACACAAAAAGTCACAATAAATGTCAACCTAACTGGCCCTACATTTCTTAATGAAAAGTCTGGATTTCTGGCTCCCAGGTCTTCACTTCTATATTAAGCTGTCTCTAATCTTTCTGGAAACGAGATCCCTTCCTTAGTGAATGACTGAGAATATGTGTGTGGCAGATGTAGATAGTCACCTTTCTTCCTTTCTCGTTTCTTGATGACTATCACTACCTAGTTTCCCATTCTGTTCAGCAGTTTTAACCCACAGCTAATTCTCCAGAAAAGCTTTTTAAATCCCATTCATAATTCTATTTTGGAAAATGCATGCCAACCACCAAAAAGCTGAGCAGCTTGCCTTCTAGTCTCCTTGCCCAGCCTCCTAGTTATCCTCTGGGATTCCTTCATTTGAAAGGTCAAAGTGGGGTTCTCCCAGGCTTACAATCACAACATATAAGTTGTTTGGTGCATGAAACTGAAGAGAAGACTACTGAACTACTTTTCTTATCACACACACAAAAAATAAAAACAATAATGTTTGTAGTTCATTTCCAAACCCCCTGTACAAGGCAGAAAATGCAGATATTGAGTTGCACCAGGCCCAGAAAAGAGTGCCACCCCCTCCCATGCCACGCACACCCCACCCAGCACACACATATAGGCACACACACACACACACACATACACACACAGAGACACACACGTACACACCAATAGTCCGTACCTATTTCTGCTTTCTTTTAGGCTTAAAGCCTTGATCAGGATAGGGAAATCTTGCTTATGAGCAGCTCCAGAAACCGCAGTGGCAGATTCCCTCTCCCCTAACACTCAGGTTCAGGGTAAGCGCCGCCAAGAGTCCAACCAGTGGTCACTCTGAAATGTTCAGGAGGGGGAGGGAGGGAGAAATAAAAACGTTGTTTCTATATTGCCACCAACAGCCAGCAGTTAACTGAACCACTCCTTCCAAGGAGATTACTTGTCCTCCCAACTTGCCTGGCTTTTAAATGAGTGGCAAAATCTATCTCTACTACAACAGAAAAGAAACCTCACTGTCCAGGAGCTGGGTTCAGGAGTTCATGCCAGTCTCCAGGTGGTGGAAATGCTCAGGTCTGGCACTGGAAAGAATTGCTCTTTTCTAAGTTCACAGCCCTAGAAAGCTATCCTAGTTGGAATACTGGGTGATGTCAAAAGCCGTAACTGCTGTCATACTAGGGTACAACCTTTACATTGTAAATGTACATTGTTCATCAGGTTCACTGCCCTAACTCCCAGCAGGGAATGCAGTTGTGAGACAAGTTCCTGCTTTGACTGCCTTGGTCTCAGATGGGCAAGTAAAACAAAACTTTTCAGCAAACTCCTTTAGTGTTTTTTACATATTGAAAATTCCAGTTTTGCCAGCCTCATGCTAGGCACAATGAGGAATACAGACACACAAAATATAGTTTCTGCTTTCATGGAGCTTACTATCTGATCACCTGATTGATGGTTCACCTATTCTTAGTGGCGTAGCAAAGTTGACTATGCTTCCAAACCCTGAACTGCAACCCTTCTCCAAAAACAAGATGCTTCTACTTGCTTTCTCAACACTTCTCTTGCCCCACAATTTCAGCAAAAGGAATCTACTAGACTCACATAAGTTAGATGAGCTACAAAAGCCCCAAAGATACGTATTTGAGGTAGTCCCCATTTATAATTTCTGCTTTGACCTCTGAAAAGCTCTCTAGGTGCGATCAAATGGGTGCAAAACTTGTAAGTTAGTATAGGTGAGATGTACGTGAACCACTTCTGATGTAGCCATTACTTATTCATCTCACTTAGAGCAACAGCTTTAGTTGGCACCAAAGTCTCCATCTGAGGAGCAAACATCTCTGTGTTCTGGAGACAAGCCCAAAATGTTCAAGACTTTTTTAAAATCACAAAACCACACAATGATGAATTTAACATGATTTCCTTACAAATGTTGCCAAAGATAAAGTGAGCAGACATAAGGTAAACAAACATGGAAATTTGTCTTTCCATCTTGTTTTGGCCCAATATCGTCAGGATCGAAGGAAAAATCATTTTTAATCTAAGTAATTATTTTAGGGTGTCTACCTCTAAAGTCAAAGCAGAACAATTTTTAATTGGAATCAAAGCAGGACTGTTAACAGAGCAATATAAATAACCACTGTGTTTCTATTGTCCAATTCTGAGCAAAACATTTGTCTTTTTTTTTTTAACAAAAACACCAAAAACAGTACAAATCTTTTAAACTTGAGCCCTTGGAGAGAAACCACCATACAATTCTTTCTGAGAACTACTTAAATTCTTCATGCCAAATGTAACTTTCTTCTTGTGACAACCGGCTCCTCATTGGGAAATGCTTTCTTGTCCAAAGTCTTACTATTCCTTTAATTTTGTCCTCTCTGTCCTCCACATCCTTTTCAAGACCTAAATCACTTTATGTTAACTGGACACAGATTGTTCCCACACACACACACACTCCAGACATTTTTGGGTTTTGTTTAACAGGAAAAGAAATCAGCACAAGAAAATAACATTGCAGCGTCCTCTCCAGCTTACTGCTTTTCATAAAGAATTTATGCTCTTATATGTCACAAATCACCTAAGAAAGAAAACACAACTTCATTTACTTATTAGAGAAAGGAAAGAAAACGATTATTGTCTCAGGCACAGAAAGTAAAATAGTATGAATTTTGCAACTTTTAATCCCACCTACAGCTTTAATCATGTCACTATAAGGGATATGACATCACCTTAAATTAATAAAATAACCTTGTTTCTCCTGGACATAAAGACTGCCCCTCAGGGTATCTGATAGAAGAAGAAAGGATAGCTGTACTTCTGTTTTAATTTTTTTTTCTCGTTTCCAGCTTGGATCTGAATAAATCTTTAATTTGTATAAGTAAGTAGTTTACTAAAATAATAGCAAACAAATGAGAAGTATTTAGGGCTCAAAGTAAAAAAGAAATATGGCCAGTAATAGAGTTTGAAATATAGATATTTACTGCAGGTAAAGCTTTTTATATATAATGATTATATCATTTATAAGGCAAATTCACTTAAATAATTGTTAGTATCCCAAAGTCTATGTCTAGATACATAGACACATCAATGTGTACTTCTGTCTTTAAAAGTGCAATGTGAATCTATATTCAGCTCTTCTGTAACAACAGGGTAGCAAAGCCAAGTTAAATTCACTCATATCCACTTGCAGTCATTGGCCTCTCCCAGTATACCTGGGACACTGAGCCAAAAACACATTTAGTGAGAGACCAGATGTTTGTTTCCCAAGCCAAGTCCTCAAAAATCAACATTACAAGGTACCTAGGACAAACCAAATTTCCAACCTTCAAATAACTTTTGTAATATGCCTATAAGATTTCCTTCCTATCCTTTCTGCCACCTCCTCTTCCCATTCTCTGCCACACCTCATTCCACCAAACAGCATGAAGAATCTAAGCCCAGAAAAATTGTTTCTCCATTAAATCTTGGTCAACTTGTTTCATACAATTTTATTCCTAGCTAAATGGAAAGGAGCCAGTTCAAAGTTTCCCTGTAACTGTGTCCATGTATTTGTGAACATGAACACATACACACAAACACACACACACACACACACACACACTGTGTGTGTGCAGGCATGCATGCACGTGAACATACACACAAACCCTCTCACAGAAAGTGAGAAGCCCCAGTGAATTCTCACGCCCTCTTAAGTTGCAGAATGAAGTGTCCTAGAAAATTCCTTTCCTGACAATTTTTCAACCCAGGATACAAATCACTTCCTTAGGGAAGTAAAAAACAATAGTCTTTTTGTAGGTTATCCCTAAACATTTGATAGATAATGGCTAAGCAGTATAAGTGTCATGGTTAAGAAGCTTAGAGTCATACTGCACGAGTACAAATTCTAGTTCTATGGCTTACTGACTGACTTCAGACATGTCTCTTGACCTCCTTAGTCTCAATTTCATCATCTAGAAATTAGCAGTAATGGTACTCATACCTCATAGAATAGTTATGAAGATTAAGTGCTAACCACAAACCTGGCAAATAGTAAAGGTGCAATAAAAGTTAGCAATTGTTATAACTAAAATTTCTAAGTAGCCTTTCTTTAGAAGGCTGTAGCAATGATATGAAGTAAAGCTGGTTTTTTTGAAACCTTTATTTACAACTCAGTCTTTTGTCCTTATTCATCAAAGGCCTGAACTAGAAAGACTCGGGAGATGACTTGGTTGTCCAACCCTTTCTTTCTATAAGATAACCATTCCAGTGCTTTAAAGGGTTCAGAGCCAGCACCAAAATTCAGGTTTTATAACATTTAGGGCAAAAGCCCTTCCTCATAATATATTATCTAGCATCATCAGCTTATACATAAAAGATGCCTAATAAATGTATATTAAATTGAATTAATCTTGGTTTCAAGAGACTATAAACTGGCTTAATGTTCCCACCAATTTTCCAGTTCTGTGGGAAGTAAAATACAACGACAAGAGGGAGAATTCAAATAGGCAAGAAGGAAATGTTTAGCTATCAGTATGACGGAAGATCCTTGCAAAATCTTTCTTCTTCAGGCAAAAATGTATGGGTAGATCTGAAAGCAACATAAATTTTCACTGATCAATGTTTCCAGGCCCCTATTCTAGGTCCACGAATCCATGATATTAACTTGACATTTGCTCTTAATCTTGCTGTAGCTTTAAAAAAGACTTAAAGAAAGAGTTGGCTCCCACTCTTTGCTCTTATCTCTACATTTGTCTAGATTAGGGCTGAAAAATTACTTTAGGAAACATAACACTGCCTTTGCATTTCCAAATCTTATTGAGAGTCAGCATCAGAGATATGTTTGTACAATAGTAATTCAAAGGCTTGCTCACTATTGGTCCCAATTTCATATAACTGTGCTCCTACATAAATAACTTGAGCATGTTAGTAGGTTACAAAGGTGACTGACTATAAAGTGGGTGTGAACAGTGAAATACAAAGTAGGAGAGAGAACCTGTTGCCAGCTCCATTTCATCCTGACACACAAATTCGTTCCAGAGGACCATACCACACACACTAGCACATCCAGTTTATTATGTCAGAAAATGTATAAGGGATCTACAAAATCAATTAACCATAAAATGAGAAACAATAAGAATAGACCTATGGCCAGCCACAGTAGTGCACACCTATAGTCCCAGAACTCAGAAGGCTAAAGTAGAAAGACTGCAAATTCTATGCTAGCCTGGACTACACAGCAAAATCCTGTCTCAAAAAAAAAAGACTATGCCTAGAAACTACTTGCTTTACCACATTTTCCTTGACTCCAATGGTACAATGCCCCTTTTTATTCTTACTTATACTTTATTTTACAAGTAACATAAGCATAGCATGCAAATATTTATAACAAAGAAAATATATCACTTATAATCCCAACAGCTCAATTTAAACATTGTTAACAACAGAACATTCCTTTCACTTCCTTCTATGTGTTTTTACAAAGCAATGAAATAGGGTACATATAATTTTGGATCCTGCATTTATTTCACTTTATCATAAGTACTTTCTCCACGTTGTGGCATAGACTCTCTAACAAACATTATAATGGCTGTGTAACAGTCCATAAAATGAGTGCATCAAGATTTGCTTACCCAATCTCCAATTATTAAGACACTAAAATGGCTTCCAATCTTGTGCTAGTCTAAATAATGTTTCAAAAACCACGTTGTGATTTAGCCTTTTTCAATATTTTGGAGTATTTCCTAATGATGGAATCCCCAAAAAGGAAATTAATGAATCAAGGAGTATGACTGTTTTTAGACAACTGATTACAAAAATAAAACTAACAAAACACCAAAGCTCCATGAAATATCTCCCTCACTTAATGAAAAGCTCTCGTGCTTCCATTTCAACCAGGACTGAGTTAAGCTTCAGGGAGGGAGGGAGAGGGGGAGGGGAGGGGAGAGAGAGAGAGAGAGAGAGAGACAGAGAGAGAGAGACAGAGAGAGGGAGAGAGCAGCGTGGGCACACGGGGGAGT